CCGCACCACCCCCTGCCTGCAGAGGCGCTGGCGACGGCTCTGACCCCACGCTGTGGCCTCCCCACCTTCCTCCTGTTATTTCCCTTTGGAATCGCTTCTCCAAAAGTTCATTTTGAGACAAATCGATTTCCAAGCTGCTTGGAGATGCAATTGGGTTTTTCATTTTGAAGAAATGATGGTTAAGGAGAAGTTCGGACCCTTAATCACTGTGGAAGGCCATGGAAATAAAGAATTCCCCTCTCTTGGCCAGAGACAGCGGGGCCTGTGTGCCCAGCTCTCTGAGACAGCAGAAAAAAGGTGTGCACGGGAGGGCATGAGTACTGGACATGCACATGTGCACATCAGCACACATACAAACCACACACATACACACAACACACAAACATGCATGCATATGCACACATACACACAATCCATGCTCAGTGAACTGCCTGCACCCACCCCACAGGGACCCCCAGCCACCTCCCTGCAAACCCCTCAGCAGGGCAGGGAGGGCCCGTGGTTGGACCACCTCCATCCTGCAGCACTTCAGAGCATCCTGCTCTGGGACCAACCTCACTGTTGTTATTTCTGGGATGGACTGGCTTCCTTACCTCTTCCAGAGGTCCATTCCAGATCTGAAGCTGCAGGTATGCAAAATTGGACATCACCGCCTCATTCATTAACATTCATGGGCTCCCTATTACCTGACTGAACAAAGATCACAGCCATATCCATGGGCATAAAAACCCTCTCCTCCTGCCACTGAAGCACACGTGCTCTCGACATCACACATGCTCTCGATAATCACACCTCCCCCAGCAGCCCCTGACCGATCAGGCAGTTTCTGTGTCTAGGACTGTGGCCTCCATGTTGTGATGAACACAGAGCTCAGAGAGGCTGAGGGGTTCACTCAAAGTTGCTCAGCTGGTAGGCGGCCGTAAACACACACACACACACACACACACACACACACACACACATCACTGGGCCTCCAACCTGCATTATCATCCCATTCTTTTGCATCTGGAAGATTTCAAAGGTTTCTGAGATGCATTGTGCCTGGAAAGGTGTAATATCTGATACTCTAAGGCCAGGGACTCCCAAATTCCTTAAACCTGGGACCAGGAGAAACCCTAAATTTCATCTAGTCCAACTCCTCTGATAGTCAAACTCCCTTCAGAGTATCCTTGCCTAGGGCCATTGGGCCTGTACGAGCACCCCTCCAGGCCTGGGTGGCTCACTCCTGCCGGCTCCCTCCCAGCTTCTATGAAGGTTGAGGACCCTCTCTTAGGCTGAATGCTGGCCATCAGGGTCTCTCCCACCTTGGGTCCTGGGTCTCTTCCATGGGACTCTAAACCCTCTCCTTCTCTGGCTGCTGCCAGGTTCAGAGGACCTATAGAGGTTTCCCAGATCACCCCCCCCACACACACAAACTCATACACACTCACACGTGTGAAGCAGGGGCTATCCCTTGAGGTGGACAGCTTCTGGGGCACTGTGCAGAGAGAGGGGGGTCCTGGGGTGATAGACATAGGGCCCTGCTTTGAGGGTGGAAGGGATGAAGGGCTTCAGGAAACAAGAGGGGGGCACAGATGAGCACAAGGGCCCTGACTGAAGAGGCAGGAGCTTCCTGGAGAGTACCCACCCATGGTCTGGGCATCTCTCATTAAGGACAGGTTGCCACAGGGAGCGACACTCAGGGACCTTCCCTAAGCCCTCCCTCTGCCTCAAGCTCCCAGGTTCACCCATCAGCCAAGGGTGCCTGGGGCGGGGACAGGGAGGGGATGCAAAGTCAGACCCTTTAGGAGGTGAGGCCACGCTGGGGATGGGGAGGATCCCGGCCACTTGGTGGGATGTGAAGTGATTGGGGGTGATCTGCCCTGTTCCTGGGACTCACGGTGTCCGCACCTCTTNGTCAGACCCTTTAGGAGGTGAGGCCACGCTGGGGATGGGGAGGATCCCGGCCACTTGGTGGGATGTGAAGTGATTGGGGGTGATCTGCCCTGTTCCTGGGACTCACGGTGTCCGCACCTCTTATATACTTACCCACTGGCTTGTTGTGCATTTCCTACATGCTGAGGGCTTTACACCATCAGTATGTCCCTAAGTATTTGTTTTTTTCTTATTTTTAGTTGCACCGGGTCTTTGATGCTGCTAGGCTTTCTCTAGTTGCAGCGAGCTGGGACTACTCTACACCATGGTGCACAGGCTTCTTGTTGCAGTGGCTTCTCTTGTTGCAGAGCACGGGCTCTAGGTGCACAGACTTCATTAGTTGCAGATGCTGGGCTCTAGTGCGTGGACTCAGCAGTTGTGATGCACGGGCTTAGCTGCTCCACAGCATGTGGAATCTTGCTGGACCAGGGATCCAGCCTGTGTCCCCTGAACTGGCAGGCGGATTCTTATCCACTTTGCTGCCAGAGAAGTCGCCCAGATATCTGTTGAGCACCTACTGTGTGCCTGTGTGCTAGGCATTGGCCTGGGCTGGGTGGGTGACTCCGGTGGGCAGCCCTGCGTCTCTGGCTCCCCCACAGCAGTGTGATGGCCTTGAAAAGGCCAAGTCCTGACCATTAAGGATGTCTGGGTACAGGCTGGGTACTCCCAGCCCCGCCACCCCGAGCTTGTGGGATCAGAGATGAGTTACTTGGTCTCTTTGGGACTCGTGGTGGGTGGAGCCAGGAGCTGTGGTTTGTGAGGCGCAGGCCCTGACCAGTGGGTGGACAGGGAATCCTGCCCTGGACTCCCCCAGCGGGGCGGGCAGTAGAGAGGTGCCAGGGCATGAGGCATGGCCCTAGGGACCAGCCAGGCCGCTGGCCCAGATTCCCTGCACCTGCCCCAGTTTGACGGACCGGCCTATTTCTGCTCAAGGATGTTTGGAGGCTCCTGAGAAGCATGTGGGGTCGGGGTGGGAGGCGGTGTGTGGAGGGCTTCCCCCCTCCCCCCAGCTCCAGCCTCAACTCCATCTTAGACCCACACCCTGACTCCCCCGGCACCCACTCCTCCCTCTGTAGGAAGAAGCCCCTGTGGGTCCCGGGATTCAAGGAGCTGAAAGAGAGCCCCCAGCTCTGCCCACACTGAGGAGCATTTTGAAGCAGACCCAGGTCCCCTACTGCGCTGCTCCTCCCCTCCTTGTTGCCCTCCCGCTCCCCACCTCAGGTCTCTCTCTGGGCCCATCTGCCTTCCTTTCCTCGGATGGCACCCCAGCAGGGCTGAGCATGTGTGATAACAGAGCCTGAAGTCCTGTCATTAGCTCTAATTACCCCAATCAGCATCGTGGGGGACAGAGGGTGCAGCTCTGGCGCCCACCCCAGTCATCAGCCCACAGAGTCAGAAATGCCAATCATCCTGCTCTATGCAGGGGGTAGGCACCAGTGTCCAGCAATTTCCCATAAGCCAGAGGCCACTTGACTCCCGAGACAGTCCCCTCTCACCTCCAATGGCCCCAGAAGCCCCCTTCCTTCCCCTTATGATTCTCTCTCCCTCCTGCAGCCTGAGTGGCAGGAAACCAGGAAACCAGGACTCTTCTCATCCTGCCTTCTGCGCTCCCGCTCCAGTGTGACCCCAGGTCAGTCACTTCTCCTCTCTGGGCCTGTTTCCTCCTCCCTTAAACCAGGAGGTGGCATTTCTTGCCTCCCATCCAGCTGCATCATCCTGCCAAACTCTCCTCCCCCGGCAGCCACCAGAGTCAATGTCCACCTGCCTATCCGGAGGGGTCGGCTGCTTCCTCTGCCCCCTCCTTCCTACACGTCTCCCCCATCTCCCACTCACCTCCACACCCCCTTCTCTTCTTTCCCACTCCCCCCCCCTCTCCCCCGACTCTGTCCCTCTCTTCCCCAGCACCCCCACCACACCATCCTCTCCCACCCCCAACCCTCAGCAGCCTCTTCTCTTCCTGTCAATTAGACTGGCTCTGGCAGGATGCTCCGAGAGCAGACCAGGGCACCCAGCTGGAAAATTGGGTGTCGGGAGCTGTCTGGAATTGCAATGCCCCCAGCCCTGCCCTCCCCCGACCCTCGCCTCTCCCCCTCTGCTGCTCCCCCTCCTCCCAGACCACTGTCTCCTCTCACTTCCCCAAATGGGAGCAAACCATCCCCTCCCCTTGCTCGGCGTCCCCTCCCCCAGCTCTGGCTGCCATTGGAATTCACAGCTTGGAAGAAAGAGTCCTGACAGTCCAGAGACCCCATCCTGGCCAGTCCCCCTCTCTGGGCCTCAGTTTGCCCATCTGTAAAATGAGGTTCCACCTCAGAGCCCTTCCTGCTCAGGCTATGTGCCTTCCAGGTCTTTCGGTTTTTCCTCCAAAGCAACAGGCTCCATACCTGCTCTCATGGCTGACCTCATTTTGTGTTTTTGTTTTTCTTATGAATGATTTGAGCTTCCCTGGTGGTTCAGATGGTAAAGAATCCGCCTGCAATGCGGGAGACCCTGGGTTTGAATCCTGAGTTGGGAAGATCCCCTGGAAAAGCGCACAGCAACTCACTCCAATATTCTTGCCCGGACAATCTCCATGGACAAAAGACCCTGGCGGGATACAGTCCACAGGGTCGCAAAGAGTTGACCCCATGGTCGACTTAGCTGACTGAAAGACTGAGCACACAGCACATGAATGGTCTGGGACTGGGCACAGAGTTCCTGATCCTCACAAACTCTCTCACTCCCTCTGTCTCTGCGGTCATTTCACTCGTCTTTGCTCCTGCCTGGCCCCTGCGTACAGTGTTTTTGCTCCTCCTGGATTCCTTGGGCTACCCAACTCTGAGCTAGCAGTCACCCAGGGCTAGCAGGCATTTAGGGAACCCAAGTCCCACCTCTGCCTCCTCCCAGACAGTCCAAGACAGTGCCTCTGAGTGGAATGGAAGACTCATTCTCCCTGGCCCCCACCTACTCCCATCCAAAGCCAAGCCCTGTCTCAAGGGTCTAGCTCCGTCCCAGTTCCTCAAACCCTGTAAGTGTCAGAAGTTGGCCAGGGCTAAGGACACTGATGGTTCACCCAGATCAATAGTTTGCTTTTATAACTGTGATTACTTTTTAAATTATTTTTTAATTACCCAGGTAACAAGAATCCCCAACAAGAAGACCCTTCTCCACACAATGCACACTCCATCAGCTGATGGAGGACACACAGGATCCCAGGGGCTCTCCCATCGGTCCAGACTCCAGGAATCTTTGGGGGGGAGTCAGTGTCAAGTTCCTACTGCATGCCAGGAGCATGCTGGGACTCTGGGCACAGCAAAGAAACTGACGGACAAGTCCTCTTGTCTCAGTCTACAAACGGGGAAGTGCTACAGTAGATCATTTCAGAGAGACCAGCAGTAGGAAAGAAAGAAAACAGAGGGACAGGATAATGCTTCAGGACAAGGCCAGCTTCGAGGACTCTGGGAAGACACCTCGGGGGAGGTGACACGGAAATGGGGCTGGAATGACAAGAAGCTGATATGACAGGGTTTGGGGCGCATTATTCTGGATGGAGTGATTGAAAATACAGATGCCCTGAGGCTAGAACTTGTGGTTGTCTGAGGACCAGCAGCCAGTGTGGTTGGAGTAGAAGGGGTCAGAGACACTGTCCCCGCTGGACTGCATCTTGCCTGATAGATCCTGGAAGTTGCTGGCGATGCATTCTAAGCGCAACAAACACCCAGTAGAGCTTTTAAGCACAAGAGAAATGTGTTCTTTTGTTCCTGTAAAAGATCTCCATATTCTGGTGGCTGGCACAGAATGGGTTGTTGAGGGTGGGGTGGGAAGAATAGAAGCTAGGAGGCCAGTTAAAGGGATGTTGGCAAGGGATGTTGCAGAGATGCAGGCAAGAGATGCTGGTGGCACAGGCACAGTGGCAGCAGGAAAGAAGTGACTCTGGAGAACAGAGGGAGGTCCACGGGGTAATGTCCACTGAACTTGTTCCACCTATGGCAGCAGGAAGTGCTTTCCCAGGACCCTCCCCCCCTTCACATTCCTCACCTTCCACTCCATACCCATACCTCGATTCTTTTTCATTCCCTGTCTCACCAAAATCCTGCCTCCTCTTGCCTCCAGCCTTCCACATGGGCTTTCCTGTCCTTCTCAGCTTTATCCAGTCCTGCAACTGCTCTGGTGGGGAATGGGGCAGGGGAGGAGGTGCAGGCAATGAGGTCCTCAAGGAGAGGGGGGAAGAGCAGAGCCCTCATGGGGTCCAGTCCAATAGCAGCACTTCTTTAAAAAGCAACCAGACCTTTTACACTGCAAAGATCAACCTCTGGCTAAGGGTGTTCTTTATCCTGTACTGTATTATATAATGCAAAGAGTGTCCATTACCTTCTCAGCCTTGAGCCAGTTTACAGCAGTCTCCCTTCTATGACCTCAGCCTGGGTGTTGTCCAGAAAAGGATGCAGCACTGTGAAAGAAAAGACAAGACACTCCTTGGGAAAAGATACTTACCAATAAGACTCCATTACAAATCAGCAGGAGAAAAGGAGATAACCTAACAGAAAAATGGACAAATGACTTGAGTAGGCATTTCAGAACAGAGGATATCCAGAAGGTCAATAAAGATACTTAAAAAGCACTCAACTTTATTTACTCAGGGAAATGCAACTTAAACTCGCAGTGATTAACAATTCGCACACCCACGAAAGGGATTGAAATGAAACTAATAGACTGTATCAAGGGCTGGTAAGGATATGGATGGCACAATCAGAACCTTTATGTATAATTGGGGAATGTGTAAATTGGTGTGAGCATTTGGCAGCTCTTTGCTCATATCTAGTAAAACTGAGCATGGGTGTGTGTGTGCTCAGTAATGTCAGACGCTTTTTCAACCCCATGGACTGTATAGCCCACCTCTGTCCATGGGATTTCTCAGGCAAGAATATTGGAGTGGGTTGCCATTTCCTCCTCCACGGGATCTTCCTGACACAGGGATCAAACCAGAGTCTCCTGCATCTCCTGCATTGTAGGCAGGTTCTTTACCGCTGAGCCACTGGGGAAGCCCCCAAACGGAGCATACACACACCCTGTGGTGGAATGATCCAGACCCAGGTACACACCCACCGAGAGGGAGTACAGACACCACCAGAAGAAGGGTAAATGAATGTTCATACCAGCTTCGTTCATCACAGTGCCAGACTAGAAGCCACCCAAGTGTCTGTCAACAGTGGAAGGAATAAACGGTAGCCTATTTCAGAGGAAGAGGAACAAACTACTGTTACATTCGTGTTAGTCGTGTCTGTTTCTTTGCGACCCCATGGACTGTAGCCCACCAGGCTCCTCTGTCCACGGAACCTTCCAGGCAAGAATACCCGAGTAGGTTGCCATTTCCTCCTCTAGGGGATCTTCCAGACCCAGGGATTGAACCTGAGTCTCTTGCATCTCCTGCATTGATAGATGGATTCTTTATCACTAGCGCCACCTGGGAAGCCCTAAATGCATATATACATACTGCGTGATTCCATTTATATGAAGTTCAAAACAGGTTAGCATCCAGTCATTATCCTTGTAGGGCAGTGAGGACTAGAAGGAGACAGAAGCAGCCTCAAGGAATGTTGGTCATTTTATCTTCGTCTGGGGTCCCTGTGTCATGGGTGTGCTCACTTTGTGAAAAATCCATCATTTTCATCTATGTACTTTGTGGGTATATATATATATATATATATATATATATAAACTTTAACTTCAAATTTATTAACTTTTAAAAAATAAAACACTGCAGAAGGATTTAGAGTAAGGAGTATATTCACCCCCTATACCACATGACTTTGGAGTGTGAAAGAAAGTGAAAGTTGCTTAGTCATCTCCAACTCTTTGAGACCCTGTGGACTATACAGTCCATGGAATTCTCCAAGCCAGAATACTGGAGTGGGTAGCCTTTCCCTTCTCCAGGAGATCTAACCAACAGAGGGATTGAACCTAGGTCTCCTGCTTTGCATGTGGATTCTTTACCAACTGAGCTACAAGGGAAGCTCAAAAATACTGGAGAAATGGGTAGCCTATCCCTTCTCTAGGGGATCTTCCTGACCCAGGAATCAAACTGGGGGTCTCCTGCATTGCAGGCGGATTCTTTACCAACTGAGCTATCAGGGAAGCCCATGGAGCGTGACCTCCATAAATTTTCTATGCAATCATGTAGCTTAGTTCAAATTTTAACAATAATGGGATTCCACTGTAGCTTACTGAGTTGTTTCTCATTTTATAACAGGGATCCTCACTATTGACATTTTAGGATGGAACATGCTTTGTTGGGAGGGCCACCCTGTGCATTGTGGGATGTCTGCAAGCATCCTTGGCCTCTATTCACTAGTGCCCTCCTGTCAGTCACGATAACCAGAAAGGTCTCCAGACATTGCCAAAGTCCCGAAGGCAGAGTCGCCAGATAATATACAGGATATTCAGTTAATAATGTACTCCCTGGGAGATTTTTTACTTTAAAAAATTATCCGTTGTTTATCTAAGATTCATATTTATTCTGTATTTTTATTTACTCAAACTGGCAACCTACCTGGGGAGAAAATAATTCCTGGTTGAGAACCAGAATTATCTCCTGTGGCTGGTTCCCTTTTTAGACACAAGGATCCTGCTCTTCTTTACAATGGCTCTGCCATGTTCCACAATACCGACGTGCCCTGATTTGCTAAGACTTCCCTTCTGATAGGCATTTTGCTTGTCCATCAAAGGTTTCCTGCTGCAAGTAACAGAAACCCCTGCTCAGTCTCACGTCGACCACAAGCATATCCCCATTTCAGCGCAACAGGAAGCCTGGAGTGAGCTTTGGGTTCCGGGGTGCAGGAAGCAGCCTCTTCCCTCGTTGTGCTCACCCCCACCTCAGTGGTGTAGCAGACATCACCGCCAAGCTGGCTGTGTCGGTAGACTCCGCATCAGAGTCCTGGTTGCTTTCCCTGATGTTTCATTGGGTGGGGTTGGCCACATGCATACTCTTGACCTATCACTGACAGAGGAAGTGTCATCCTTAGGCCAATCAGAGCACCCGTGGTGGTGGCGGCGGGGGCGGGGCTTGTGTTCCCGGAAGCAGTTGCTAGAGGCCAGAGGGCCCAGGACAGGTGGTGTGATTGTTAAGACAAGAGGGGCATGGGTGCCGGTGGACAGAAGATACCACTCTGCTGATTCTGAGTTTGCACTGTTGCCACTAACTCCCATCCGCTCCCTGAGCATTATGCAGAGGGCTCTTCCAAATCAGATCATGGTGCTCCCTGCTCGAAGCCCCTCAGTACCTCCCTCTGCTGTTGGAAGCTAGAAAGCCTTCACTAGGGCTCTTCCCTTCGCCCTGCTGGCAGGATCTTGTGCTTACCCATTTGGCATCCTTGCTCTTCCTCAAACAGGGCAAACCCAATCCTGTCTTAGGAAAGTGAATCTGCTCTTCCCCGTCGCCAAATTGTGTGTCCGGGGCTCCTTCTCCTTGTCCCCTTCCTGCTCAGAAACCTCCAGAGATGGGCCTCCCCTGAGCACCCCATCACCTGTAATCACGCTGGGATCTCCTTCCCCAGTGTTACCAGAGGTCAAATTACCTTGTTTACCTACCTGTATTTGTCGATTGTCTCCTCCTGCTTAGATGTCAGCTCCTTGGGGGCAGGCCCTCAAAGTCCTGGTCACTGTTGTGTCCTTGGGCACTTCTGGGAGCATCCATGGCACCAAGACATTCCCCACTCACACTGACTTAACCAAGCCTGAGAGGGTGCACCTCTGTATACCAGGCAAGTACAGGCCGGGCCCTTATCCGCAGCCATAACATTCTGGTGCTCAGAAGAACTTCTCTTTACCTAGATGGCAGCAAACCTGACCCAAATCGATGTGAGGCTATTTCGTCTTTGTGTATCTCACTTACTGTGAATATGTATGCAGCTTGCTGAAGGAATATTAAAAAGTGTTTCATTAAGGGATTATTCTGGGCTGGGCTCCCTAAAAACAGAGCCAGAGACAAGACTTGGGTGCTGGTGGTTTATTTGGAAGGTGATGCCAGGAAGCAGGAACTAGGGACTGGGGAGAGAAAGATAGGGACAGGGAGAAGCCAAAACAAGGGTCATTGCCGAGGTAGCTGCAGAGGGGCGGTTAGTCCTCTGGGACTTCGTGGGTAGCCTGGAGTATTCACCTGAAAGATGGAGTCTACTAGGCACTTACCCACCTGCCCCTGGGCCCTAGCCAAGGGTTGCCCCAAGGAACTTCCACTCTCCGGAACTTCCCAGCCACACTTGAGATGGGACCTGTGTGCACGAGGCTGAAATCAGAAGTGGAACTGAAGACCCCAGCGTGGGACACCTCCAGACCCTGTGGGAGAGTGATGAAGAATGTGGCATAAGTGCCAAATTACCTTTTTAAAATCTGGAACATATCTGGCCCCAAGGATTTCCACTTCCTAGAGGCAGAATTGCTCCATTAGAGCAAAGTTTTAATAGATGCAACCAAGAACCTACTGGAATGGCTCTCTGTATTTCACACTGCCTCTGCCCCAGTCAACAGCAGATGTGATAAAGTAGCAATTTTAAGGGCAGGCGCATTAGTGCCTTTTCTAAGAATTTATTTCCCACAGTACGCATGGAGAAGGCAATGGCAGCCCACTCCAGTACTCTTGTCTGGAAGAATGCCATGAATAGAGGAGCGTGGTGGGCTGCAGTCCACGGGGTCGCTAAGAGTCGACATGACTGAGCGACTTCACTTTCATATTTCACTTTCATGCATTGGAGAAGGAAATGGCAACCCACTCCAGTGTTCTTGCCTGGAGAATCCCAGGGACGGGGGAGCCTGGTGGGCTGCCGTCTATGGGGTCGCACAGAGACGGACACGACTGAAGTGACTTAGCAGCAGCGGCAGCACTAATACTGTGTTTGTTTGTTTTTTAAAACAATCATTTGTTTCAGATAAGGAAACTGAGAAGGGCATGGGACACAGAGATTACATAATTCATCCACATTTCCATAGCTGCTAAATCCAAGGCAGGAGTCCAACCCAGGCGGGACATTAACCACAAGGCTACACTGTCTCCAATGATATAAACATCTTTTAATTCTTATTAATATCATAAGTGAAAAGTGACAGTTTATTGTCATTTTATCAGTTAGGATCAGGCGTGGGTACAAGTAACAGAGACCTAAGCCAGAAATGTGTTGCTCAAGTAAAATCTTGAGGCTGATAGCTGAGAACTGGCATGGCGGCTCTACTCCACAGTATCAATCACTCAGGCTCCTTCTCTTATTACTTCCCTGTGTATGATCTCTGTTCCCAAGATGTCTTCTCAGTCCAGTATAGCTGCTGGTGCTCCAACCATCAAGTCCTGTCTTCCAGTCACAGGAAGAAGGGATAAAGACAAAAAGCACCTACCAGTTATCTTTTCAGAAGATTCCTGGAATCTGCTACTTTGCATTGGCCAGAACTTGGGCATATGGCCTCACCTAGATGGGAGACTGCAAAATGTCTTTATTCTAGATGACCATGTGCCTAGCCAAAAATCAAGGGCTCTGCTCCTATGGAAGAAGGAAAGCTAAATTGGAGAACAGCCTGTGATCTCTGCCACACTGGAGGAGTGGAGTGCATAGAGTTTTCTTGCAAAGAAACCTTTGTGTATCTCACTGTGAGTCTTTGTGTATCTCACTGTGAATGTGTAAGAGCTCTTCCCCTTTTCACTTCTTTGCCTCAGAATTATCTTTTCATAGTCTCCATTTCTATTGCATTAGTTATTCTCATTTTTAGTGATGCTTCTTGTGGGGAACTCATGACTGTAACAATGCTTGACTCTAAGGATTTGTGTCCCAATCACATGGAAGACAGTGGGGGACCCAACTCAGCCCCTGACTCATCTTAGGTGCCCTGCAAATGTTGACTTCCTTCCCCTAAGTCAGGGGTCGCCCAGTGCTCGTGTGTATCACAAGCCTCTGGAGTGCAAAGAAGTCAGAGTCTGGGACTCACTGAAAGACAGGGACTGGACCTGTGGTTTTACTAAGGTTCCTGAGGTGAGAACAATGCCCAACAAGTTTGAGTTTGCCCTGAATTGTTAGCAAACTTCTTTATGCTGTCATTCTCTTCCTTTTGGTGGTCTGTAGTAGTACAAACGTGGCTGGTCTCTCCTCCATTCAGCCACCCCCCACACACATCTTGAAGAGATTAATGAGGCCACCCACTGAGCCTTCCCTTTGCCAGGCTAAAACCCCCATTATCTGAAGTGTCCATTGTCTGACAGGATTTCCAAACCTTCCAAATGGTATTGTTCTCAGTAGGGGGGCCCCATTGGGTCAACCTCTCTCCTGGAATTGACCACAGCTTCTCCAGGTGGGGTCTGGGCAACACAGAAGAGTAGGGAACCCTCACCTCCCTCGGCCTAGACCCTATGTTCTATTAATGAGGCCCACAGCTGCATCAGCCCTAGAAGCAGCTGTCGCTCTGTGAATTGACTCTGAGCCCAAATCTACCACAACTTCCAGGAGTAGGAGTGACATGTTGATGGTGTGTATCTGCATATGGCTACAAGTGACACAAAATCCCTATTCAAGTGAAGTTCCAGCTAAAGAGACATCATCTCACATGAGAAGGCAGAGGCAGACAGGTCCAGACCCAGTGCAGTCCTCATCTCCATTTATTCAAACGAGGGTCCTCAGCTCCATTTCTTCAAATATGCTCTTTCCATTTGGCTTTCCTGGTGTGTCAACTGTGCTCACAGAGAAAGCCCTCGTGGCCACAAGATCTGAAGTTTTTCCAGTATCCGCATCCCAATTACATACAACAAGGGCATCCGGGAGAACACAGAAGATCCTTCCCCTCTCAAAGCCCACTAGTAGGTTTCCTTCCCTTGGTAGGAAATGGGTCACGTGGCCATTCCTAAACCAATCACTGGCAAGGGGGGTGGGTGGGTAGGGGCACCATGATTGCCCAGCCCAACCCCCATTTGCCTGGAGCTAGGGGTGGGGCCATGTCCAGTGCTGAGTGTAGGTGGGGAAAGTTCTCCTGAACCTAAGGAGGATTCTTTTAGGGAAGGTACAGGAAAGAAATGGAGGTTCGGGGGGAAATCTCCAGCAGAGAGAACAGCAGGTTCAAAGGTCCAGAGGCATGACTGGGTGAAGGGTCTTCTCAGCCTGGCTGAAGGAGGCGGTGAGATTATTTAGACAGATGAGGGGCACAACCAGATGCATGCCCATCATGATCCCTGTGCCCGTTTCCAAGAAACAAACAGGGGCCTGCACCCCAGGCAGGGAGGCCAGTTAGGAGGCTGCTGCAGTTGCCCAGGTGAAGGGTGATGTGCTTGGACTACAGGAGAATAGCATACACGGTGTCAGATTTGAAGTGGGTTTTCAGAGGCAGGTCAGTAGGATGTGCTGCAGCCTCAGACCTGGGGAACCAGCGGGAGAGCTCGGTAGAGAGGACCCATGGTGCTGGCTTGAGCAGCTGAGTGGTGCCATTTACATAGAAAGCAGGTTGCTTTGGGGGGCTGTTGGGGGTGTCTGGGTCGGATATGTAGCTGAGAGTCATCAACATATGAATGGTATTTGAAGCCCTAGGACCTCAGAAAGTGTATTAAGGAGCAAGTCAACGAGTGGGTGTTTTTGTGAACCCACACCTTTCTCTAACCGTTGTAGGAATCCAAGAGACAGACAGACAGGCCAAGATTAAGGTGTACTAGAGAGGATGGACTTCAGACGACTTGAAGATACCATCTGTAGGCCCTCTGGACCTAAGCAAATGCAAGTAAGGAAGGAGAGGGAGAAATTGAGGTAATTTGCAGGTTTGGGCTTCAGAGAGGACTGGGTGGTACACGGTTCAACATTAACCATTAACCCTGTAGGCTCTGCCCTGCCCAGGGCCCGGGCCTTCCCCAGAGCCCACACTGAGGCCTCCCCACACGCTGCTCGTCCCTCTTTTCTTTCATCCCTCTCTGAGATTCTCTTCGTTTCCCTCTCTGGTTTAGAGCTGCCCCCACATGCCTCCCGCCCTGGGGTCTGTTTCTTTTGGACAAAGCATGTGCTTCCGCTGCTGTGTTGGCCACTCTGTCACATGCTCTTCCATTCAGCTAACATTCTTGGCAGCCTCCCTGGGCCAGGCCCTGGTAGGAGTGCTCCTCAGCTCTTCAACACCTCCCTACAGCTTGGGAGGTGGATGCAGCTATAGCTTTGTTTCACAGAGGTGGAAACTGAGGTTCTGCAGTTGGGGAAGCACTCTAAGGTTCACCATCCAGCCACCATACCCCTTCTCTTATCAGAGTCACCCCTGGCAGTCAGTCCAACAATTGGCTCTAGACTGGCCTGGGACATATCATCTATTGATGGCTATTGAGAGGCAGCCAGGTCTGGGGCAGGGGCATGATCTGGGGGAATCTGGTCTTGCCTGTGTTAATCAACATCTGCTGAGCCTCACTCCCCTGGCCTGTACACTGGGGCTAAGAAGCACGTTTAATCTCATGGACATACTGCAAAGATTTAACAACCTAAAGCCTAACTCATGGTGCTATTGTGAGGTTTAAGTAGCTGAGCACAATGCCGATACAGTGAGGTCCTCCAGGGCAGGAGCCATGGCCCACTCTCCTTACCACCCCTGAAAGCAACCCCTGGCAGGCCTGGCCCAGTGACAGCTCAGGGACTGACTATCAGGAATGGATTGCATTGGTAGTGAGGCTTCTACCCTCAGGTCCTAAAGCCAGAACAGTCCTTAGGCTAGAAGTGGCTGGGCAAGGGGGACCCATGGCCCGAACCTGGGGTTGCTAGGATCAGAGTCAACAGCATCAACACCAGAGAAGTAGAAGGATGGGGGGGCTGTAACAAGCTTCTGGGCAGGAGACAAATGAGCAGAATAAAGAAGGAGCTTCTGAGTAGAATTGCCAGGAATCCTAAATGCAATCTAGAGGTACTTCAAGAGAGCAAAGAGTAACATTCCTCTTTTATTGTTGTTTGATGGGGAGGCTAGGCTGTTTGGAATAGTGTTCACTTCAGAGAACTGAGCCACAGACGCCCCCCTTGTCTACTAGGATTACAGCCCAGCATTCACACCTCACCTGAACTTTACAAGTAGTTAAGGGATGGTGACACCCAGCAGCTTCCACGCTTGGCCCTTGCCCGGACTCTCACCCCAATGCCTCCACCCCCGACCCCAGGAGGCCCTTGTCTGCCTCAGCATCTCTCAGCTCCCAGGAGCCAGAGGCTGTGTCTCCTTGAGCTTTCTCCACTGCATATACCAGCCAGGGCCAGGGCTCCACATAGTACACAGGCTCGTGGGTTGACCCTCAGAGTAAGAAACTAGGAAAACCATCTGGGCTGGGGATTCCGCTAAGCAGCAGGAGAGGGAAGAAAAAATTGGCGATTTACTCAGCAAGGCAAAGGAAGGACACACCCCAAATGCAAACGACCTTTCTGACTTCATCTGATCCCTGCCACCTCTCTTCCCCCGAAGAAACCGGTTCCTTCATCCTTTCACTCCTCCAGGAGACAAGAGTCCAGCCCCCCAAGCCAGGCCATCTCCACTCCTATTTCCTCCCCTCTTTTCAGTGTCGCACCCTCTCTTGTGACTGGCTTCCAAGCCCATTCTACTCCTGCCCAGGCATAAAAAGGCAAAACCATTTACTCGTCCAACACCATTTATTGAG